CAAAGTCGAGAAATGCGAACACCGACATTTATTTTTATCGCCAATTTGGCAGTTTCTGATGTAGTGCTGTGCGTGTTGGGAGCTCCATTCACGCCGTTGTCTGGTCTTCTTAATTCCTGGGTGTTTGGCGATGTGTTGTGTCATCTGGTGCCAACTGTGCTTTGTCTTTGTGTGCATGTGTCTACGCAGACATCTACAGCCATCGCGTTGGAAAGATTCATGGTTATCGTTTATCCGTTCAAGTGAGTTGTAATAATTTATCGATGCAACGCTATTTAATTTGTTTGATTTATTCTTTAATATAAATATTTTTCAAATTTAGAAAACAAAGAAATTTTTAAAAGGTTTGCCAAAAAACATAAATGCAATTATTATCCTTTTCATCCAACAGACGCCGCATGACATTGGCAGTCTGCATCATCACCATTTTCACCATCTGGATTTTTTCCGCCGTACTCTCCAGTCCATTTGCATTCAACCAAATTAACTACTGGGACGAAATGAAGTTCATACACGACTGCCGGGAAGATTGGTCGGACGTCAGACTGAAAAGAACTTTCACTCTCCTCACTTTCTGTCTCCAGTACATTCTCCCTTGCTCCATCATCGCGTTTTGTTACAGCAAAGTAACAATTTCATTAAATGAAAGAGCAAAAGTGGCAGCCAGAAGATGCAGTTTTGCACAGGCAAACAACCAACGGAACAAAATTCAAAGAAAACGTCGAACGAACAAGATGCTGATTATGATGGTCATCTTTTTCGTTTTGTGTTGGATGCCCCTCAACATTCTTCTAATCGTTTGGGAATTTTACGCAGCCGTTGAGGAAAAATCTTTTTTCATTCCACTGTTTTTTGCCACGCATCTCCTGGCCGTCAGTTCGACTGTTTACAATCCATTTCTGTACGCGTGGATGAACGAAAAGTTCAGAAAAGAATTTCAAAAAATTATTCCATGTTATCAGAAATTTGTAATTGCATTTAAAAACTATAAATTGAAAAATAATAAAGAAGTGAGCAGCACTAATGTTAACAACATGGAACCATTTAGTTTCAACAACTCAATAATGAACTCAAACTACAACAAAGAAATCACGGAACAGAGGTGGAAGATGACCACGAAGAAATCAGCTGTCCCTCACATCGAAGTTGGACAAGAAGATGGTAACATGCAAAATGAAAATACCCTCTACATACCACTGCTCCCTCTGCAGCCCTACCAACCAACAACCCTCTCCAAAAATTTCCTGGAACCACCTGCTCAGCCACTGCAGTGAAACGCACCACACTCAAGGTCCAATGGATAGTTGAAAAATCATTCATTCAAACGTAAATTAAAATTACACTTTGATATTCAACATGAGTTTTTTAACTGGCTTGTCACACAATAAACCTCAAAACTCACGTGAAACGCCTGCATTGCATAACCGACATCAAAGATACTTTAATATCACAAATAGAATTATAACATGATAAAAAATAAATAAACGCAATGGAAAGTAAGCATTGAATGTCTTTAATGCAAATTTTACAGTTACTTTTAATGCATAAGAATAGACTTCCCAAAATTTTTACATTTGATACAAATGTGTCATTAATCTCTTTCATTCGCCTGGAGGAAATAGAATGAACCTTACGTAATGGAATGGATGATGGGAATGACCGCTCCATTTTATTATATATAAACTCATGACATTATCACATTCATTTATTTTCAACGTACGTTTAACAATTTTTTTAATAACATAAAAGAACCTCTTACTACTTTGGCAAATCGTGATTAAATTAATAAATTATAACACCACATCATGCATGGTTTCAACAGATTAAAACGATTATTGGAAGAGCTTTTGTAAATTACTATCCATATTTGGGTAACTTCAAGTGTCGTCTGGTTGCCTTCTTTGATTGTTTAACAAACTGAAACATTTATTTTACGCAACAAAATTTAAGTGGGTGAACGAATTGATGGTTTAACGATTAAGGCGCCTGGTTCTGCAGTTGCAGTGACCGGGTTCGCGTACGAAATGATCCCCATCTACAACATGCGATGTGTGGCATACGCGGATTCACGCCTTTTGAGATGCGCTGTTGGCGAACTGTTCATTGATACCGCTGTGAATTCAATAAGAGAGAATTAATAATATTAATACTGATAATAAAAAAATAATCATAATGAAATTAAGATTATATAAACATCAGTAAAGTTTAAAAAAAGTAGCTTGAATTATTTGAAGTTTGAAGCGTGCAGCCTGAAACGTATTCAAAAAATTGATCAGAAAGAGGTTTATTTCAAAACCAGTGAAAGGATATAATCGTAATCTTTCTTCCAATAAATTGAATGTTTTCATTTACAAATGACGTTTCACTTTACAGTTGCTTTTCAAGCGAAAATATTAAAATGCAGATACAAACTCAACGCCATATGTTCGTGTTCATGCAGATAACATTTACATGAGTGCTTTCAAGTGGCTACTAGAGTCACTGACTCAACTTACGCACACGAGTTTGTAGCTAAAACGTTAAGCTAAATTTTAAACACAGGTGTCTTACAAGAGTTCGTTTATATTTTTTACTGAGTAAAGAAATTGTTTTATAATTATTTGTTAATTTTATTAAGTCTTGAAAGATGTCACGAATCACGATGCAACTGCGTATGAGCAAAAGTTATTTAAAATGTTCACCAGTGGAGAGTTCATTGCGGCGAATTTAAATTTATATACAAAAATAATAAATTTTTTTTCTTAAAATATACTTAGGAAATAAATTTAAATTGGGTTTATAGAACTTTTCAAAACAGAATGATTTATACAAGTATCTTCTTAATTATTATTGCTATAAATGAGACTATTATTGAAAGTTTTTGACGATTTTCATAATTTATACAATTCAATGACGTCATCAGTCGTAACAACTAAAAAGTTTTTCTCTAAACTGAACGAAACAGCCCAAGGTAAGAGTATGTTGAAAGTTGATTCAACCAACATGTCGACGAAGTTTGCATCCTTATCGTACAAAGAAACGCACCTCATTGATTGGTCGGCCACCAACACGTTACCCCTGTCATCTAGAGCGAGCCCTTCTGGACTCAACACTTCACCTCTGGAGCCTGTTGAAGAATATTTAAGTTCCAATTCGCCATTCTTTTGGAAGATCTGAAATATTATCAATTATAAAAAAATATTTAGAAAATAGTTAATAAAATTTGTTAATAAAAATCAAATTAATGAATCAAATCACAATACTACCCTAACTTCTTTACTACCGCAATCGGAAACGTACAGCCTCTCTTTGCCGTCGATGCTTACATAGTTTGTCTTCTTAAAGTCGCCACATGAGAGTTCATAATTTCTCTTAAACTTTGAATTCATCATCACTACTTTCTCTCCTTTAGAATGAACAATTGCAATAGAATCTTTACGAGAAGATATGCAAAATGGTTGTGTGAATGATTGCAGCTCTATAGTTTCAAAACATTTCAAAACAATTTTTTCTTGAGATGTAATCGCTTTTGTCGAAAGACACAGTTTGAACTTTTTTGCTAAAGCATTTTTATCGGTGTTACAAAGCAAATACAAATTTTTTTTTTCGGGATTGTAACAAACATCAATGATGTCTGTGATCGATTTGTCATCAGACACATTGCAGGCAATATTTAGAATTATTCCATCATTTGAACGAACAAAGACAGCCTTTTTCTCAACAGATCTTTCATTCTTATCGATGGCCACCAATATTGTTCCTCCTTCAATGAAGCAGCATCTCCTGCAGGAAATTTGTTTTTCCATTCTCCAATGAGGCTCACCTCTGTACATGAAGTCTTTATTGTTTATATCCGGCTTGAAAGATTTCTGCGTTTTGCGAGTTAGCGATTTCATGACGAGTGTTTTCAAGAGAGCCTCTTTTCTTATAGTTTCATTTTTTATTAATTTATTGTTTTTTATCTCAAAAATTTCATTTTTGTTGCCCTCTTTTGTAATTTTTCTTACAATTTTATTCGAAGCACTTGGTAAGTCTGCCAGCGATGTTGATGATGATGACAAATTCTGCAGTAACACTTCGTCACTATTAACCATTTCTCCAAGTTCAATTTTTATTGCCGGGTTAAATTTGCAACCTCTGCAGTCATAATTTGAAATATCTTTTGCCGACAAATCAATTATAGAGGTGTTTAGTTCAAGGACTTTTTGGAAATTTTGTTCAGACGGTTTAAAATTATTCTTACTAATTTCTAAACTTAATTTTTTTGCTGAGTTTGATTTAATTTCTAATTCTTTTTTATAAGCAGCCAAACCATCAAGATTTTTTCGATAATATTCTATACTAGCAGCAAAATTTTTGTATGAAGTGTCCAATTGTTTTTTGGCATCGTTGTAAGCCTGCTTCAAACTAAGTTCCACTTGGTCTAAATTTTTGCTAGAAGATGATTTCATGGAATCAATTTCTTTAAGTTTTTTCTCCAAGTTACTCAAATTTGATTGAAATTCTTCTTTGATGGTCGTGTAGATTGATTCAGTTTCACTATCTTTAGACCCAATTGAAACGATATCTTCGTACAGGTTCTCTGCATTAGATACGGTTTCGTAGGAAAATTTACCGCTGGAGCCGTCAGAATCAAATAAAAATAGATCGCCCTGTGAGTCACTGATTGATTTCAAGCGATGATTATTGTGGTTAGGGAGCATGACACATATGCAGCAAAGTTTTTCATTACAATCACTGCAAAAATATTCAAACTCGCTGCAATGAAGACTGCACAATAAATCTTTGCCTTGCGTCACAACTTGTTCATCGAGACTGTGAAAACGATGATTAGTAAAAAAATTGTACGATTGATGAACTGCTCTACATTTGTTGCACAATATTTTTTGACACTTCAAACAAAAATGCATTCCTTTACTTTCTAACCCTTTAAATTGACAAACTTTGCACAAAGTCATGTCATTTTTTGAATTTGCTTTTTTATCGTTGCCTAAATTTACTGTTTGCGATGACGTTCTACCAAGAGGAGATAGATGTTTGCTGTTAGATGTCGATCCTGTTTGAGCTCTGCTAATCTTCAAATTTTCAATAAATTCCAAAATTTGTTTGATTTTCAAATCAGTAGGAAAAGCTGATATTCCTTTATTTGGAATATAAATCGTTTTTCTGCAGGTTGGGCATGGAAAGTTTGTCGTCATGACGAGTCTGCTGCTGTTGACAGAGTTGAAATGACGAGTGAGACATTCTTCGCAGAACGTGTGCATGCACTCCAAGACCTTCGCTGTCTTGAAGGGAAAGAAAATTTAATTTTGAAGCTTTTATTAACTATAAATAGTAAATATATTGATAAATTATCAAAAATAACATAGATATTTAAGTAGAAAAAGTCAAATATTGGATGTAGTTAAAAAAGTTTTTGATTAACAAAATAATTCGAATATTTTCAATTAAGTTATTTAAACAATAATAGAATATTCAAAATGATGTAAAATTAAACACACTCTGAACAATCCACTTTCGTCATAACTGAAATACGTGTTCGTGCAGATCGGACAAGAAGTCAAGGCTTCCGCTTCCGCTTGTAACGCTTCATCTTCAGTGAACATTTGCAGACTGTCTAGTGTTTGTTGCAGACTGTCTAGTGTTTGTTGCAGACTGTCTAGTGTTTGTTGCAGACTGTCTAGTGTTTGTTGCAAAGTGTCTGGTGTTTAAAGCAGACCGTCTGTTTTTTACAGATTGTTGTAATTGCTTCTTTATTTTACAATATACGATATTGATAAACCTGTGAAAGTATTTCTGCAACGCTGGCCGTAATAGTACTGGATTTTAATTTTGTTCTGTGATGAGTTTGAAATAAACTTATTTTATCCGATGTCGTAATGTTAAAATTAATGCAATAAATTTATAATAACTTTGTTGAAAGTTACTTTAATCAAATTTGAAACCATCCTTTGATTCTAATCTCAAATAAAATAAAACTGTGTTAATCATAATAATCATTTTTTTAATTCACCAATGACGATAGTGATAAAAAATTATTGTTCTGTTTTTCACTTCGCAAGAAACAAATTTGAGAGCATGCAAAATATAAAAATTTAAATAATTATCAAATTGGATCAGAACGTTTTTACTTAAAATCAAATGAATTATTAAAAAAATTACCATAAAATTATATAAATGATCAATACGATAGTCAGTCAATACTCACCAAAACATTTGGCAAAAACAATCCCCAACAAATAACACGGCTGATGTAATGACAGATGATGTAAATTTTTGCTCAATTATATGCTGACATGTAACGTTAAAACCACTTGTTTAAAAGTAGAGTTCTTGTGGTCTTAGTGGTTTTTATGAGCAATAAACAACAATACAATGTTACAAGATATGAATAATTTTAATAATTTCGTAAATTCCAGCAAGCAATTAATGTGCGAAAATTACTCAATAAGTTTTTTTAAATTAAATATAAACAAAATTTTAACAATAATAACTAACAAACTTTTATTTAATATTTAAAATCGTGAAGTATTCACAATTTTTTATGTGAAGATTCACTCAGGACCCATACAGCACATCGCGTTTGCACAAAATGAGAATCTTCAAACTACGGCTCCTTCATATTGAAAAGTTATTTAATAAGTTTAACGGTTTTATATAATGTATAGTACATGTGTGATTTTATATTGTGTATAATACACATGTGATTTTATATAATGGATTCAGATGTGACGTTATACTTACATATCCTGCGTCTGTTGAATACTTTCATATGCAATGCATATGCACAACAACTACTTATGCATACCGTTCATTTACTATTACTTGATTACCATTCATAGTCGTTATTTCATACGAGTGTCTTCACATACCATCTATGTATGAATGTATTGCACAAACTGATTGAATGAAACTCAATATCATACATGTATGTATCATACATAATTTACATACGTAATCAGCTAACTCGCCTATCTATAGCTTATGTAAAGGGTTTGAATATAAGTATAGATATACCAAACATAATATATACATGTGTGACTCACATATATGTATACATCCAATGCAATAATGCATTGATTAAAAGTCATACTTCGTTGAATAAATATAATTGTGTGACGCTCGTCCGCTCGCTATAAAGTTAAGTAAGAGGAACGTGGAGTAACTGTTGGAAGGAAGTTTTTTATTCATTCATGCACTATCCTTGCTTTGTTAAAGTTAAATACACAAACAAGTTTTTGGAGCTGAAGTAAATAGTTAGGAATCAAAATTTACAAATATTTGAAATTTTTAACATTTTGTGGATGGCGGAAGTTCAATAAAACCAATGATGCCATTTCGAATCGAACTGCCCGCTGGGCCAAAGCCAACTGCAAAATTTACACGTGACGAACAATCAAAAATTTATAACTGCATGCTGTCAAAATATCTTTAAATGTATAACACGTGCATACATCGAATGCACGTTAATCATTAAATCATTTATTAATATTTATAAGAGACCTATGGTTTAGTTATTCATGCACCTGTTTGTTTAAGTATGTACAAGTACATAGGTGTACACTTTCTACATACATTTGTGTATAATGAGATGCGATTTTCGTAAGACTATGCGCATATAAATAAACATTTAATGTAATATAATACACCTTAATTAGATCAAAAAAGATTGAGTCTGCTATCAATATTTGTTGGTGAACATTTAAAAAAAATTGTTTAAAAGTATTTAGTTTGTTTTTTTCTATTTTATTTAGCGAACCGTTAGCAAATGTTGGATCAAAATAAATTTAAGACAGAAGAATTTTTATTATTTAAAAATAATAGTGCATTTAATTGTTTACGCCGAGAAAGATACTACTTTACTCTAAAGTAGATTTTTGATGGTTTTCACGAAGGGGCAGTGAGGAATGCCATTCAAGAAAAATTTTTAAACTATTTTAAAAATGCGATTTACACAAAATTTACACGTGACGAACAATCACAAAATCATAACAGCACGTTATTATGAATGCAACATAACAACATGCAGTTATGTTGTTATGTTGCAAGATCGAAACTAAAAAATGTTTAGAATATTTTCTTAAAGATTTAAGAAAATGATCAATCAGATTGGCAGCTGCACGCACGGGCTTGAATGAATGTGTTGAAGAAATTAACGTTAGGCAAACCGATGTAAAATTAATTAAGGTAATCATGCAAAATATTCCAACTAGCGATATGTGGGTATAACTTAATTTACATGTATCAGCTTAGATGAATCATTTGGTGATATTGATAATTTACATATGCTCCTTATTCATTCAATGACGTTTCGCGACGTTAAATTTAATTTGATTAAATGATTTATGGTATAATTTATCAGATCTGTCATTTTGTACATATGAAACTAAAGCGTATAACGTTGATAAATTTATTTAATTAATGGAAAGTATTTTTTTTCTTGAGTGTCAGAAGATGTTTCTAACCAAAAATTTATTTCTCCTTAATATTAACATTAGTTTCCCATGATCTAAAATTCGAACTGCAAAAAATGTTGCCCTGCGCTTCTTACGTGATTTTTTTGTTTCTGAAAGTTTGTGTCTAGTGAGTGTGTGTGTGCATGTGTGTGTGTGGTGTGTGTGCATGTGTGTGTGTGTGGTGTGTGCGCATGTGTGTGTGTGGTGTGTGTGTGTTTGTGTGTGTGTGTGCACATATATTTTTTAAATAGATCACAACGAAATTCAAGTATGTGGCAACTTAGTCATTATATTTCATTATGGCAGTTCTAAGATAAGATTGAACAAAATATTTACTGAACGTCAGTCTTAAACAAGTATGTTCTGTTCTTTCGAAATAATTTTATTTATTTGAAACTTAGAAGAGCATGTTTGGTACAATTCATCACCAAACGACTGACTTAATCGGTATTGCAGCATTAGGACTGCAGAATTTTTTCATTATTATCACTACCGGGCGCAATGAAAGATGCAACACATCTCAAAAAAACATTCATATCTGGGTTAAAAGGATAAGGTATCACATTCTCATTGCATATTTCTGCGTCGAGATAACGTTTTAAACAAAGAAACCTTGTAATTATGAAATATCGGATGATATATTGATGTATAAAAATCCGGGCACATACAAGCACAACATACATAAACCATACCATCATTCAAGCATACAAAATGCAAACATACTATTGTTTTTTATTTTTATGAAAAAATCAGCAGTACACACACACACAGTTGCATAGATACCTACTTACATAAATATATACGCAAATACACATGTAGAAATGAACGGGTATTAATCGCTTATCCTCTTAAAAAAACATCTACATATTCACATGCACAGCAGCAACACAAACTTCCACACAATAAAACATTTCAAAATTGGTCGGAGTCTACCGTGCAGCATGTATTATACAAGCGTATAACGAATCTTTTACTTTTTCCTCAAAAACACACCAAATGCAACCACTCATTTAAGCGACGGAGGGCACAAATTATGACCACGCAAAGATCAGGAAGTAGCGTCAAACACATCAGACAACAGGGCTTTGAAAGAAATAGGACTTTTGAAGAATGACAACACCGACTTTCCAAGCGAAAGAGAACAAACCCTGACCAATCGACTCTGAAAAACTTCACAACAGTTCACAAATGCTTGAATATGCATTGAAAAACATAAAAATCTTCCATGAAGAAACAAGCAGCGTTGTAACTGTACACTTGAAGTTATTTACTAAACATTACTTTGCAATATTTTGTGAAGATTTATAAAATGTTTCGCGTATGTTCAACTCTCTATCAGCTGAAATTGAGTTGGGAAAATTGATAAAATAAACTATAAATAAATATTTTCTATCATTTTATTCATTTATTTTTATTTATCTATTCACATTATTTGTGATTCTTTTTAATCCTATCACATAAAATTCAAAACTGTTCTCATTATATATATATATATATATATCAATATGATATATATATATATATATATATATATATATATATATATATATCAATACGTAAAATTTCGTCAACAATGCTTGGTGGATACTTGGATAGATGTGAGGCCGTGGTTAAAAATCACCACCCGCATATACATAAATGTATACAGTATGTGCACATGTAAACACACGCACACACACGAACGCACACATACACACGAACGCATATACACACACACAAAATAATTTAAAGCAATACTTTTGTGTACATAAGTGTACAGTTTTGTGGCATGACAACTCTGCAAATAAGTTCAACAATAACAGAACAATTACCGAGATGATAACATGTTATGAAGG